GCCCTTCAGATGGAGTTACTTGGAGGTGGCAGGGGAGAAGAGGGCCTTGGTGGCCCCCAGGACAGCAAGACCACTAACGGGCTTCCCATGGACCCACGCACGAGCGAGGAGCCAGAACAACTGAAAAAAAGGGAGCCATTCAGAGGCTAGTGAATCATTGCAAGGGACCAGCGCAGGGCCCATCCCACGGGAAGTGTTTGGAGCACAGGCAGTGGGGGAGATGGGCCCATGGGGAGAACACTGGGACACAGCAAGGACAGCTGATCTGCCCCCCAATCAGCACAGGACCACTGAGAGGAGACTGGTCGGGAATGCAGAATTTCAAAGGGTGCAGTTTGGTTAAAAACTCAGGCCCAGATCAGATATCCACAATAAAAAATTTTTAAAGATGTAAAGGTAATCCACAGATTGGAAAAAAAAAAATATCGCAGTACATATGTCTGACAGAGGACTGATATTCAGGATGTATACAGAACTCTTGCAATTTAATAATAAAATGAGAAACAATCTCATCAAAGCAGTAAGCAACAGATATGAAAGGTACCTCACCACAAAAGAATGACCTTCAAGCACATGGAAAGATGCTCAACATCAGCAGTCATCAGGGAAATTCAAATGAAAACCACAGTGGAATACCACTGCACACCCACGAGAATGGCTGAAATTATGAACACAGAAAACACGAAGCATTGGAGAGGATGGAAAACAGCTGGAACCCTCATATGTTGCTGGAAAGAATACAACAGTGTGCAACCACTTTGGAAATCAGTGGAGCAGTTTCTGATGCGGTTAAACATCCACTTAGCATTTGATCCAGCAATCCTGATACTGGAAGAGAGGGTTTGGGCAGGTCAGATAGCTGGCCTCAACCCACCCCGGCCTCTAGCAGGTTCTTGACTCTGCCACAGGAAAGAATTCAACAGCAGAGTTGGAGTAGAAAGAGAAAACAGGTTTAATGCAAAGAATAAGAAATACACATTTCACAAAGTGTGGGGTGGCTCGAAAGTGAGCAGCAGCCAGCTAAAGGCAGAGAAAGTTAGAAATACACACCTCACAGGCAAAGTGTGGGCTGGCCCCAAGAGAGAGCAGCGGCCCTGCCTTCTCCCTGGATTCTGCTTTTATAACTTGGCTACCTGTACCCACTCATGCTATCTAATGAATATTCAACCAAGGGGGTGGTTCCTAGTTATGTAACAGGCTATGTACATTGCCTTGCACACGCTCATGTGTTCTCTTTAGAGCATGCTCATGGGTCAAATTCCACAGAATACACTATAAATATACCAGGAGCTCTCCAGCGCCTCCAGTGGAAGGTCATTCATAGGATAAACTTTCTTTTTTTTTTTTTTTCTTATTTTTTGTGACCGGTAAGGAGATCGCAACCCATGGCTTGGTGTCGTCCTCTCCCCGCTCAGCCAGTGAGCGCACCGGCCATTCCTATATAGGATCCGAGTGCTCCCAGCGCCGCACTCTCCCGAGTGAGCCACGGGGTCGGCCCCCATAGGTTAAACTTTCTACTGAGCATGCTCAGCCTCGGGAATTACATAAACCTGCCTCCTCTGGGTCTCAATCTCCAGGTGTTGGTGCTGAAAATAGGTGCAACAAGCAACAGCAGCTCAGGTCCCAGAGGAGGGTCTTGAGTTCTAGGGGAGTGGTTTGAGTCCCAGGGGAGTGGCCTGAAACCTGACCCCAGGGAAACTGAGCATCTATCCAATCCCACTCCAAGGTTTTTACCCAAGAGAAATGAAAACTTACATTCAGATGAAGACTTTTACACAGTGTCCATAGCAATATTATTGTAACAACCCTAAAATGGGAAAATCCAAACATCAATTGGTCAGTGGATAAGCAAACTGTGGTACATCCATACAGTGGAACACTACTCAGCAGCCAAAAAGAATGAACTACTGATTCACGTGACCACATAAAAGGACCTCAGAAACATTGTGCTGAGACAATCCAGACAGAATGACTACATGCTGTAAGATTATATTTATTTATTTTATTTTATTTTATTTTGTCTTTTTGTCTTTTTTCGTGACCGGCAACGGGATCGCAACCCTCGGTGCTGCCCCCGCTCCTCGCTCAGCCAGTGAGCGGCCGGTCTGTATGTGGGATCCGAACCCTTGGCGGGAGCGCTGCCGCGCTTACCAAGCGGCGCACTGTAGCAGTGCGCCACCGGGCTGGCCCCGTAAGATTATATTTATTATTTTATTTTATTAATATTATTTTTTTACACTCTACGATGTTGTTGCAGAGCAGTTGGGAGGGAGGGATCGGGGGGAGGGGGGAAGGAAATGGGATGGAGGAAGGAGGAAGGATGAGGGGTGGGATTGAGGCCTGTGGCACCACCCACATTCCCACAGGAGCGACTGGGGGGCTTCCAGGGGTGGCTTGGTCATTATCAGGCTGGGTGCAGATGTCAGGGTGGGTGTGGCAAATGCCCTCACCTCCCACCTCCCCAGTTCGGGAACCTGGGGCCCTTCTTGCTGTGGCTCGGTGGTCATCGCTGAGCTGGCTGTGGGTGTGAGGGGATTTGCCTGAGGCCCTTGGGCCCCCTCCACCCTGGCTCTGGAGAGCCCAGGGCACTTCCTGCAGCAGCACAGTGGTCATCACTGGGGTGTTTGTGCTTGTCAGGGGTGTGTGGACAAGGCTCCCAACCTCGAGACTGGTTTGTGGGTGTTGGGGGGCATGGCTGAGGTCCCTGGCCCCCCTCCCTTTCTGGTTTGGTAGCCCAGGGGACTTCCATTCTTTCTAGGTGTTATAGGAGTTCTTTGGTGAAATGAGATCTTTACTAGTTAATATCAAACTTTGTCTCTGGTTGTGGGTATTTTGTTTTCTCTTTGAGCTCTGTGTTGGATTATTTGCTGTTCCCACCACTCAAACTCTGCACTGGAACCAATTTGCTGTCCTTTGCTGACTTCTATAATGGGGAAACTTCCTGTGGGGACCAGTACTTGAGCTCTGTGGTTGAGCTAAATTGCTGCTTTGCTGCTGATTCCCTAGGGAAGGCTTTTTGTGCAGCTCAGATTTTAATGGTTGACTTTATAGGTACTTCCGGTTCTAGTGAAATCCAGTGTACCTGGGTTATTTTGCCTGAGTCTTTTCATCAAACTGCACCCTATGAAATTCTATATTCCTGACCAGTCTCCTCTGAGTGGTCCTACGCTGATTGGGGGGCAGATCAGCTGTACTTGCTGTGCCCCAGTGTTCCCCTGGTGGGCCTGTCTCCCCCACCACCTGTGCTCCAAACACTTCCCATGGGACGGGCTGTGCTCTGGTCCCTTGTGATGACTAACCAGCCTCTGAATGGCTCCTTTTTTTCAGTTGTTGTGGCTCCTTGGTCCTGTGTGGGTCCACAGGAACCCTTTTAGTGGTATTGCTGGCTTGGGGACCACCAAGGCCCTCTTCTCTTCTGCCACCTCCAAGTAACTTTATCTGAAGGGCACAGCTGCAGCATTTTGCTGGCTCCTGCTCCATGTGCTCAGCAGCTCCAGCCTGGAAATGGCTCTGGGGCTTGAAATGGTTGGAGGGTTTCTTCTTTCTCTCATTGTGGCTTCTGCCACCTTCATACACTCTGTAGGTCTCTCCTCCTCTTCCCCTGAGCTCTAGCAGCCCCCGCTTGGCTGTCGTTGCTTTTTTATAGTTGTAAATTGGTTGATTTGTGATAGAGAGTGATGCTGGGGACCGTCTATTCTGCCATCTTGACTGGAAGTCCTGTAGGATTATATTTATATAAAACTCTAGAAATCAGATCAGTGGTTTCCAGGGGTGGAGGGGAGTGGGTGAGGATTATGGCGTAGGGTCAAGAGAGAAGTTTTAGGGGCAATGGAATTAATTGTTCTATAGCTTGATTGTGGTGGTGGTAACACAACTGCATATGTTCGTCAAAATCCACTGAACTGGGTGAGTTTTCCAGTACACAGAGACATTTGCTCCGGGAAGTTTATACCCCGTGTGTCCTTTTCACTCTGTCTCCTCTTGACGCCTTGTAGGTGGTCATTTTCTGGTTCGTCCTCCCTGCACTTCTCTCTGCAGTGCTGTGTAGGTAGATGTCTGCTTTCTTTTTTTTTTTTTTTTTTTGTCCTTTTTGAGACCGGCCGCACCGCGCTCAACCAGTGAGCACTGTGAGCGCACTGGCCATCCCTATATAGGATCTGAACCCGCGGCGGGAGCGCTGCTTCGCTCCCAGCGCCGCAACCTCCCGAGTGCACCATGGGCTCGGCCCTAGATGTCCGCTTTCTTATTTCACCATCTTCCTTCCACAGAAGACGGACCACTCTTTCGCACTTTGCTTTTTCAGCTCCCCATCGTAGCCTGGGCACCACTCTGCACAGCTTCAGCGAGGTCCCCTGCTCCTCCTGCTCCCCGTGAGGGCGGGTGCAGGACTCCTTTGCATGGATGCACCACGGCTTATCTCGCCCATTCCGGGTAGGTGCACTTAGCTGGTTTCCAATATTTTGCAATTATAAACGGTGCCATATGGAGCAACCTCGCATTTTTGTGTTGCTGGAGATGGACCTTTGGGGCAGTTCCTAGAGGTAAGTTTGCTGAATCAGTGCCTATGTGGTTGTGTGAGGGGTGCCCAAGTCCCCCAGGGGGGTACCAGTGGGCACTCCCCCTGCCACGTCCCACAGCCACTTCCCTGTGGTTTCTCCCTCTTTGCCAGAACACTGCCGTTGTGGGTACACCTCTGGGGATTCTTGGCCCCTATGGTGTAGGGACCATCCCCTTAGAGCAAAGGGGACACAGCCAGAAGGACCCCCTTCTGCTCTCTACCGGCCTGTTCGGGTGTGGCTCTTGCCAACAGCAGGGACAGGAAGGTGTTTTTCCTCCCATCAGAGCTCCTGCCTTTCAGCTCCAGGAGTGAAGCCCTCCGCATGCTGTGGTCACTGGTGCTGGTCCCACTGTCCTACTGCGCCTGACTTTGCTGCATTGACTGATTTTTTTTGTTTGTTTGTTTCTTTTTCTTCTTTTGTTTTTATTTTTTTCTGGGCAGCTGGCCAGTAAGGGAATTGAAACCCTTGATCTTGGTGTTATCAACACCACACTCTAACCAACTGAGCCAGCCGGCCAGCCTTTTCTTTTATCGTGGTAAAATACACCTAACATAAAACTTACCGTGTTAGCCATTTTGGAGTGTACAGTTCAGTGACATTAAGGACATTCACATTGTGGTGCAGCCATCGCCACCATCTGTTTTCAGAACTTTTTTTTAAAGATGACTGGTAAGGGCCGAGCCCGTGGCGCACTCGGGAGAGTGTGGCGCTGGGAGCGCAGCAGCGCTCCCGCCGCGGGTTCGGATCCTATATAGGGATGACTGGTGCACTCACAGCACTCACTGGCTGAGCACGGTGCAGCCGGTCTCAAAAAGGACAAAAAAAAAAGATGACCGGTAAGGGGATCTTAACCCTTGACTTGGTGTTGTCAGCACCACGCTCAGCCAGTGAGCGAACCGGCCATCCCTATATAGGATCCGAACCCGGGGCCTTGGTGTTATCAGTTCCCGAGTGAGCCACGGGCCGGCCCCTTCAGAACTTTATCTTCCCAACTGAAATTCTGTGCCCATGAAACAGTCTTCTCTTGCCCTCTCCTCCGGCCCCTGGCCACCACCATTCTACCCTCTGTCTCTGTGAATGTGACTTCTCCAGGGACCTCGTGTGAATGGAATCGCACAGTGTGTGTCCTGCTGTGACTGGCTTACTTCACTCAGCATGATCCTCGAGGTTCGTCTGTGTTGTCGCGTGTGTGCATTGACTGGCTTTTGTTTTGTTTTGTCTTCTACCCTCCTCTCACTCCACCCTCCCCTCCAGATGTCTCGTCAGCAGAGCGGATGGCAGAGAAGCAGGCTAGTACAGGACCCCCAGGCACCTCTGTGCCTCAATTTCCTCATTTGTAAATGCAGGTGATTTTGAAGGCCAGCTCACAGAGCTCCTGGGGCCTGATGAGGTCTTGCTCCTGGCACACGGGGGCCCCGGGTAAGTGCCAGCTACTAGTATCTTGCCACTGCCCCTCCCGGTAAATTTTTACATTGTGAAGTACACATCAATTATGCAGAAAAGTGTAGAAAATAACATAATGGAAGCCCACGTACCCGTCATCAGTTTGTCAATGCTTTGCCGAGATGGCTTCCAGATACAGTTTGTTTTTATTGTGGTGAAATTCACATAAAATAAAATTAACCATTTAGACGTCTGGCTGGTTGGCTCAGTTGGTTGCAGCAGGTGTTATAGCACCAGGGTCAAAGGGTTTGGATCCCCGTAATGGCCAGCCACCCAAACCAAAACGAAACAAAACAAAACAAACACACAATGAACCCTTCTCAGTGGCATTTAGTGCGTTCACAATGTTGTGTAACCACCGTCTTTATCTAGTTTCAAAACTTCACCCCAAAAGGGAACCCTGTGCCCATCAAACATCACTCCCTCCCCCTCCCCAGCCCCTGGCAACCACTAATCCACTTTCTGCCCCTACGAATTTGCCTGTTCGGGACACTTCATTTAAATTGAGCCATATAGTATGTGGCCTTTTGTGTCTGGCTTCTTTCACTTCACGTTCTTGAGATTTGCTTCTGTCGTAGCCTGTGTCTGTGCTCCATCTCTTTCTATGGCTCTATGGCTGAGGAATATTCCATTGTATGAACACCCCACGCCTTCCTTCCTTATCCATTTGTCAGTCGATGGACACTCGGGTTGTTTCCACCTTTTGGCTACTGCGAATAATGATGCTATGAATATTTGTTTACGAGTTTTTGGGTGGACGCACATTTTCAATTTTCTTTCTTTTTTTTTTTTTCCTTTTTGTCTTTCTCCGTGTCCGGCAACGGATTGCAACCCTCAGTGTCGTGCCCGTACCGGACCAGGACCGGCAACGGGATTGCAACCCTCAGTGTTGCTCCTACACCTCGCTCAGCCAGTGAGCAGGAACCGGTCTGTATGTGGGATCCGAACCCTCGGCGGGAGCGCCACCGCACTCCCAAGCAGCGCACTGTAGCAGTGCGCCACCGGGCTGGCCCACATTTTCAATTTTCTAAGGGAGAAAACTGAGAGTGGAGTTGCTGGCCGTATTGTGTCTCCTTGTTTAACTTTTTGAGAAACTGCCAGACTACCCCACGGTGGCTGCAGCTCTCCCACCAGTAGCGTGCGAGGGCTTCAATCTCTCCACATCCTCACTGATGCTTTTTATTTTCTGTTCTCTCGATGACAGCCATTCTAGTAGGTGAGAAATGGTATTTCATTATGGATTTCATTTGCATTTCCTTGACGACTCATGGTGACATCGCATTTATGTACTGGTTTTCGTCCCGACTTCCTGGCTCATGCTGCTCTCCGACTTTCTCCTGCCCTCCTTTCACCTGATCCTTTTTCTCCCTGAGGCAGGAAATTTCTCTGACCTACCTTGTCTGACTGTAGGTCACAGACCCCCATCCCAGAAGGGGTCCTGCCGCATGCGCAGGTGGAAGGAATGCTGCACACAGAGCCCGAGAAGAACCCGAGCAGACAGGCCTCGCTGGGCTTCCCCACCCAGGCTGCCAGGCTGTTAGGGTTAGGTCAGACCCTTTTTGTCCAAGCACACGTCCACACAGCTGTCCATGCTTGAATCATGCCTACGTCATGAAGCTTCCATAAAAACCCGAGAGCACAGGTTCAGGGAGCTTCTGGATAGCTGCACACATGGGGGTTCCTGGAGGGTGGTGAGCCCTGGGAGGGCCTGGAAGCTCCACACCCCTTCCCTTATACCTCGCCCCGTGCATCTCTTCACCTGTATCCTTTGTAATAAACTGGGAGATGTAGGTATGTGTTTCCCTGAGTTCTGTGAGCCCCTCAAGCAGACCAATCGAACCCAAGGAGGGGTCATGGGAACCCTGATTTAGAGCCAGTCGGTCAGAAGCACAGATAGAACAACCTGGGGCTTGTGAGCATCGGAAGTGAGGGCAGTCTTGGGGACTGAGCCCCACCCTGCAGGACCTGACTCTACCTCCAGGGGGATAGTGTTGGAGTTAAATTGAATTAGAAGCCGTGCAGCTGGAGTCTGCTGGAGAACTGCTTGCTTGCTGGGGGGGAGGAACCCCCGCACATTTGGTCACAGAAGTCAGAAGTCGGTCTTCCGTACTGGTTGTTGCTGAGTGAGAGTACAGGAAAACACACACTTTGTGTTTTTTCTATATATTCAAAATACTCATGATATTGAGCATCTGTTTATATGTTTATGGCCATTTGTGTCCTTCTTTAGAAAAATGTCTATTCAGATCTTTTGCCCATTTAAAAAAATTGAGATAAAATGGACATTAAAAATCCATGATTTTAGCCATTTTAGAGCATACAATTTGGTGGCACTTAGTGCATTCGTAGTTTGTGCATCCGTCACCACTCTAATTCCGGAACGTTTACATCACCCCTGCAGGAAACCCTGTGCTCCTTAGCAGCCACTCCCCACACACCCCCTTCCTCTCAGCCTTGCTAACCTTGACTCTACTTTCCGTATCTATGAATTTGCCTAAATTTGCCTATTCTAGACTTTTGTTGGTGGATGGCTGGTACAGGGATCCGAACCCTTAACCTTGGTGTTACAACACCATGTTCTAACCAACTGAGCTAACCAGCCAGCCCCCTATATTAGGTATTTTATATAAGTGGAATTATATAATGTTTGTCATTTTGTGACTGTCCTCTTTCCCTTAGCATAATGTTTTTGAAGTCCATCCACATTATAACATGTTCTGAATTTCCTTCCTTTTTAAGTCTGAATATTCCAGTGTATGGATATACCACATTTTGCTTATCTATTCATCTGTTTATGGACATTTAGGTTGTTTCCATGTTTTAGCTATTATGAATAATGCTGCTATGAATACTCCTGTACAAATTCTTGTTTTCAATTCTTTTGGGTATACGCTGAGGAGTGAAATTGCTGGGTGATATGGTAATTCCATGTTTAGCTTTTGGAGGAAACACTACACTGTGTCCCCCTTTCTCAAAAATAAGATTTAAAAGTCATTTTAATGGGTTTAAAAGGCTGGGCCCCTCCGTGTCCTACTGGCATCCGCTGCACATGGCACCCACTTTCTCCCATGCCCGGGACGCGCCCACAAGCATGTATGCAGTGCTGCTTTGCCCGTTTCATAACTGTAAAGCCTGTTCCTTCCCAGCAGTGCTGTCTTCCCCAGCACCTTTGTGAGGTGCCCTCTCCCTGGCCCATCCCTCGTAACCTGCCCCAGTATGAATGCCCATCTGTTCTCCATCCTCCCCAGCAGGGATTCTTGACTTGGGGGCTGGCTGCCATTCCTGTGACATGTGGGGTCATAGAGAATATTCTCAGCCCTGCACCTACATTTCCACAAGCCGAGTTTTTGCAGGAAATTAATCAGGAGCCAGGTTGTTGGGCTGTGAGGTATGGACACACCTTTGCTAGTCAGTGCCAAGGGGCGGCTCCCACAGAGAGGGACACCCTACATTGCCTCCTGAGGGTCTCCACCCCGTCCCCGTTGTGTTTGGCTCTCCCACTTGCCAGCATGGCTGAGCCTCCTTCTCAATGTGCACCCTCAGTTGCAAGCCTTTGCTCACTCAGGCCCCTGGCCCAGGTCCAGCGGATTGTAGCCTCTCCCTGGACCAGTGGCCATTGTTGATATACATCACAAGCATTTTCTCCTGGTCCTTACGATGTCTTTCATTATATGGAAGTATTGGTTTTTCTCATTAAAATTGCTTTTATTACAAATAGGCAAAAGAAGGAAAAAATTCTAATAACCTATATCCTCCTATCCGATGCTGAAGATAATATATATGAACCTCTTGTCATATCTCTCCAGACATTTTCTTAGCAAACACACACACACACACACACACACACACACACGATGGGAATGTAGACTGTCGTGTGCCTGATGTGTTCCTGATAATCCACCCTCTTTCACAGATTCTGAGAGGTGCCTTTTCCCTCATTTGATGTCCATGAAATCAGGATGTGCCGGCAGTTGCTGTCTGCCAGGGACACAGTGCCCCAGTCATGCAGATCAAGGAAGCCCTGCATCAGAGCTCTCGTCCTCACCAAACACCTGTCACATTGCCTCCAGGGT